GAATTCTGCTTATATATAGATTATAGATAAGCATGAGGATTAGCCTACATATATAATTTATAAGTAAAGAAACGTGTTATAAAGGTATATGCTAAAGACTTGCTATTGAAGGCCTACACTTTAAGAAAATGTTTGGAGACTGCTGATTTTCAGTACGAAGCTCAAAGCCTTTGTTATGGTATTCAAGGCTGATGATAATTTAGCCCCAGATAATTTTATGGCTTCTTCCACCTCCTCTGCCTCCCATTACCAAAGATCATATTCTAACTGTAATCAGCTACTAGACATCTTCCAAGTGCACCACAACAGCACATTGTAGTTCAGAGTACTTTGCCCACAGTAGGTGTTTGATCAAATCTGTGAAATAACCACCTTACAGCATTATTGTCACGCCGTCAGCCCTGGACTGTTCCTCCCTGACTTCTCTCAAGGGCACTCTCCTGATTTCCCTCCTGCTGCTTCAACTATTCCTTCGGTCCTCACTGGCTGCCTCTTCCATACACACTTTACAAATATTTATTGAGTCCCTGCTGTGTGTCAAGTATGGTGACAGGTACTAGAATATGCAGTGACCAAGAAAACCAGGTTCTTCGACCCAATAAGATACCCCAAAACTTCATCTCTAGTCCCTTCCCCTCATTTACCTCTGTCCTTATGCAGCTCTGACTTCACGTCAGTCTTGTCTCCTGTTTCTAGCTACTTGTTGAATATTTCTGTCTGCATCTACTTCTATCACCATGCCTGAATTCACTGTTCCCTGTCTTTACATGCTTCTCTGGCCTCCACACCTAGTTTCGTTTTTTTACATTTATTTTTATTTTTTATTTTTACCTAGTTTCAATTTCTCTGCATTGACTAGCTCCTTTCCTTGCATTCCTATTGATAGCGCTTGCCAGCCTGTATTAGAGCCTGCTTCTTCCTTGAGGGACTTTGGCAACTGCTTATTCCTGCCTTTCATCTCTCCAAGTAGCAATTCATTTTGCCTTGCTGCCTAAATCATTATTTTACAAATTACTGCCAGCTTTCCCCAATATTAAGATGCAGTGAGGAGGGGTTCAGGAAAGGTTGAGGCCTACTTTTTTGAGACAGGTTCTTGCTCTGCTGCCCAGGCTGACTGCAATGGTGTGATCATAGCTCACCGCAGCCTTGACCTACCTTCCAGGTGCAGGGTGATCTTCTACCTCAGCCTCCCAAGCAGCTGGGACTACAGGTGCACACCACCACACTTGGCCAATATTTCTTTTTCTTTTTTTTTTTGTAGAGACGAGGTTTTGCCATGTTGCCCAGGTTCGTCTCAAACTCCTGAGTTCAAGTGATCTGCCCACTTCGGCCTCCCAGTGTTGGAATTATAGGCATGAGCCACCACATCCAGCCTGATTTTTCGTATTAAGGCCTGCTTTTCATAAGGCGTTTGAACTGCTTCACCCAGCATTTCAGGGGTTCTTTAGACTATTCAGCTTGGTGTTTGAGGGTTCAAGCTTACCATCCACTCCTGCCTTGATTTGGATTTGTGCTCATTGTTCCCAGAAGGCATGGTTCCCAGTTCTGGGTCTTCACTAGGTCCCCCTCCCTCCCCACCTGTCTTGGCCTCTAGTTCAACTCATTTATCACACATTGCTCTGTTATTTACCTTTTAATTTTGTCTTCTCTGCCCAGATGTTGTGGCCTACCCTCTGCCCCCAGAAATGGGCCTTTTGGCTTTTTATAATCCAGAGTACACTGAAATTTAGTGTTCTAAGCACTGTTCGGTCTTCATACATGCTTTCATCTTATTTTCACAAGCCCAGGTGTTACTTTTAACATCTTTGTTTACAGAGATTAAATAATTTGCCCAAAGCCATGAATGAGAGGCAGAACTCAAATGTGAGAGCAAATTTGGACTACTTTCAGTGACTGCTTGCCTAACCCTGCATGACCATAGTGTGAGGTGCATGGCAGACCCCAATCATAACCTCCAGGGACTCTCAGAACCAGGCCTGTACCTCAGGAAGATGTCCTATAGAGAATAAGCCTCAACAAATATTTACTGCAAATAATACTTCCCTCCCACAAGAACTTCTCTTTGCCATGAGTGATCTCCCTTAGGGGCTGGGGTTTGAACCACCCACTTTGGCACCTAGTGGTCTATTGTTTGATACTATTGTTTCTTCTTTCCCTCATCTCAGGCTCTATTTTCGTGTACTATTGTTTCTAATGTTGCCTTTGCCTAGCAGAGTTTTCCTTCTCTCATCAGGTCAGATCTGTCCCATTGGCTGATGTGGGCGTGAGGTTGCCACGCCTTCACAGCAGGATCTTCCTCCACTGAAGACAATCAGTGGCATTCAAATCTAAGACTCCTTTGGGGTGTTAAAAATGCAGCTGATTAGTTTTGGGGTGGGACACAGGAATCTGCATCTTTAACACCCAGATCTTGTTAGGTTATAGTCAGTCCATCATCAGTCTACATTCCTGCCTGTTAAGACTGACCCATTAAGGCAGGACTATTTCCTGGTATAGCGATTCTCTAAACATTGCACACAGCTGAAGAACTGGAAACTGGGTCTCTTTTGTTTCTGGATACACCACTTGGCAGGTGTAATAACATCCTCTGACAGGCTCCTTGCCACAGGTGCATGCTTGACACGTGCGTCTTGTTGGTACCATCCCCTCCCCCTCCCACCCCTGCTGCCCAACCAAGACCCCTCTATTCCCAAACCACCCTGCAGCTGTTGCCCTTCTCCAGGCCCCCAATACCACCCCCGCATTGCCCTCCCTTCTCTTCCTTTCCCTCCCCCATAACCCTTCCCCAGGCTCCTCCCACCCCAGAATATTTTTTTTGTTCCTAAGTTTATCATGTGAGGTGGGGGTGGGGGGACTGGTTAGATGGAGAGGACGCTCTGCCATTCGGAGGTCCTACTGAGTGGGCACACCTTCTCCCCTCGAGAAAACCCTGTTTCTACCAGAGAAATGGGCAGAGGCCTCTCTCTGGAACTTGAACCCGTCTGTCTCTGGAAACATCCCAAAGCAAGCCCAGCCTGCCATGTTCCTTTGTTGGGGCACAGAGGGAATGGAATCTTACCGATAAGGTGAGAAGAGCTCGAGAGAATACCAAGGACGGGCCCACCCTTCTCCCTCCTCCCTCCAAACACCTCAGGCTAAAAGGGAAGAAAAAAAAAAGCACCAACAAAGAGTTTAAGACAGCAATTCCCAGCTTTTTCAAATATGAAGCATTTTTTAACCAATCCGTTTTTTTAATTCTTAAATTCTTGACATTACAGAACTAAACTGAAATTTATTAACATTCCACTCTTACATTTCTTATCGACAAACAAGAAATAAAATTCATGAGCCAAAAAACCCAAAACAAAACTAAAAACAGGGAAAAGCTTATAAAACTAAATATGGATCCCAGCATTAACAGCTGAACAGAGAATGTGATTTTTAAATTCTTAGCGGATGATAAAGTTGTGTAGAAACTGAACACTTACAAATTATTTAAAACCTGGAATCACTGACCAGAAATTACACAGTTGGATCATGGGAAAACAGCAGAAAGGGGTTATCGAGGGAACCTACACTGTTCTAGCTGCACCCCATGCCCTTCTCAGAGGAAAGCCTGGCATTGATTAGATACTGGGCCAGACTAATACTGGCAGCAGAGCCAGTGATAGTAACCTGCCTACCAGAGGAGCCTTCCACTGGGTTGGCAATTTTGATCTGGGCCCCGGACATCTGGCGAATCTCATTAATGTTGGCGCCTTGGCGCCCGATTATGCAGCCAATTAAGTTATTTGGAATGGTGAGTTCATGGGTGGTTTGAGTAGATGCATCCAAACTTGCCCAATAGCCTTTCACCTCTGGAGAGCTGGAGTCAATTCCGGCGAATCCGGTCCCGCCGTGCATCATGGCAAAGTGAGACTGTTGTCTTGCCACCTGGTTCAGCTTGGCCAGATCGAGCGGAGAAATGGTGTGTTGTCCTTGAATCGAGTAGGCATCTAGAGGTGGTCCCTCCAGGTCATGGGTGGCGTGGGGGTAGCCCGCAGCGTCGCTGCACCGATCTTGGCCGCCGGCGCAGATGACTGGGGAGCTGGCCGGCATGGGCTGGTACGGAATGGTCATGACTCTCCCTTGCGGAGACTGGGAGAGCGTCTCCAGCATGACCAGGCAGATCTGCTTGACACACTCGGTAACAGACTGCGGCACGCCCGCGATGGTGATGGCCCGCTCGGTGGAGTTGGGCAGCATATCCCCCGCCACCTGGACCTGCGCCCCCGTGCTCTCGCGGATCTCTTTGATCTTACACCCGCCTTTCCCAATCAGGGAGCCGCACTGGGTGGCCGGCACCACCAGCCTCAGGGTGACCGGGGGCCTGCTGGCCGCGGTGCTGTTGGTCATGGAGCTGTTGATATCTTCCTCCAGCTTGTCGATGATCATAGCGAAAGCCTTAAAGATGGCATTGGTGGGGCCGGTCAGAGTGATGATTCTCTCCGGACAATTCCCCTCCGAGATGTTGATCCGCGCGCCACTCTCCTCGCGGATCCTCTTAACCGACTCCCCTTTCTTCCCAATGATGCTTCCTACTTCCTTTCCGTGCATAAGAAGCCGAATGGTGAGAGTCACATTTAGTCCACTTTCAGTCACACCGGCATCCATGGCGAGCGGCGGGCGGCGTTCGGGGGAGTTGGGCTCGTTACGTGGTCAAGTCTTTGGCGGCTGGCGGGGGGAGGGGAGGTGTAGGCCCAAAACTGCCGGCGCGAGGCGAGCGAGGGCCGCGGGAGCGAGCGGGAGCGGGCGGGAGGCCGCAGCGTAGTCTCAGGGGCGGGCGGCGGCGGCGGAGGGGGCGAGCGGGGCCGGGAGCGGCGGGCTGGCGGGTGGGCGAGGGCGCGGCGGTGGCGACTCCGGCGGCAGCCTCGGCGGTCTGGGCGGGGCGGGAAGCCCGCTTTCAACCCCGCGTACCCTCTGACCCCGGAAGTGCTTGCTGCGCAGGACCCCTTGAAAAAAAATGAGGACCCGTCTTTTTTAGGTCACAAGATTGCGCCAACCCTCACATGGGCCTTAAAAAAAAACCCCTTCTGACACTGCAGTACTGAGAACGAAGCGCATTATGGGGGGAAGCTGCGAGTCCGGCAAAGTTTTAAAATGAATACGTTATTTTATTAACTCTAACGGCACTGGCAGGTGACTGAAATTACTAGTGTCGTGTGTGGTAAACAGATATTATTTTCCTGCTCTACATAAGGGATTACTGTGCGGAGCGACACGGGCAGCCCCGGCGGAAACTGCAGGCACCAGCCGGGACGCCGCGGGTTTAAAACGTGCGCGTGAGGTGATCAGGGCGCGTGCGCGAGGGTGTGGGGGGGACGGGAGGGGCAGACGCCGTCTTCCGGGGGGGAAGGGCTGTGAGGCGAGGCCTGCGGAGCGGGTTCGCGAGGGCGCCCCGCATCAACCCCCACCCCCACCCCGGCCCCTTCCCCTGGCGAGGCGGCGGTCGGTGAGCAGAAAGACCGAAACCGACTCACGGCCGCCGCCGGAGTCGCGGCTCTGCTGTTTGTGGGGCGTGCTAGAAACGTGGTCCTAAAAAGAATGGCGTCCATTTACATAATGCTTTGTTTGCGTTTCACAAGTTTCGGTTAAAGCCACAGAAACCCCACCTCCTGCCCTTGTGTCGTTTCCACCGCGGCACCCTTGTCCGACATTAGAAACAATAGTGTGTGCCTGTGGAGGCCTCTTTTGTTCAGGGGCTGTCGACGAGGGCGTTTCTGCGGCTTTTCCCGCGCGGCCTGGGCCCCCACGGTTGTCTTTTAGGCTCATGGGCGCAGCCACCGCGCCCCGCTGTCCGGGGGCGGCCCCAGCAGGGCCCGCCATCTTGGAAGGCCTTTACTGCCGGTTCCTCCCGCTGAGGAAGTGTCGCTCGAGACGCTGGCCTATGAGTTGTGGTTTCTGCCTTTCCCCTTGCCCTAATCCAGACCAGAAAAGGCCCCGTGCGCAACGTGCTTCAGAGTTCCTCAGGGAAAGCGGCCAGCGTGGCGCTACTCCGCCTCCCCCGTTCCTTCCCCGCGGGGCGGCCGCCATGTTTCTTGAAGACAAAATGGCGACACGTGGCTACCATTTGTCGCCAACGAGAAATTGGGGTCCGCCCGAAAGCTCTAGAATGCACCCCCCTTCCTCCCCCGGGCCTTCCCCGCTCCGCGAGTCTTATGACCCTTCCGGGATTAAAAAAAAACCCCGCAGGCTGGTCTGAAGCTCGGAGGCCTAATTTTAACGCGTTTTCCTCCCTTTAATTTGAAACGGGAACGCGAATAACTGTAAAATGTAGGCACAATATTTAGTCTCTCGCCTTTTTAAAGCTTATAATGGATAATAGGGGGTAGTATCAAAGGATAATTTGGGTCCCCACCGTACCAAAGCATTTACAAACCTCTGCTTAATTTAAGGAATGAGATGAATTACTGCTTTTCTAGACTTCCTAGCGTGGTCCATTGTGGGGAGAACAAGAGATGGTTTATAAAGCTTTTAAAAGCAAGACAACTTCCGTGAAGAGACTTGAATGCCTCTGACTTTTTCGCAGGCCAGTTGGCCGGTGAATCTTATTAACAGTTTAACACAATTAGTGTTCACTTTTAGTTTAGAGGGGACAGGTGTTTATTGTGCAGTGGCCAGTGTCAGCACATTCGATGCCAGGGATTTCACCGCATCTTATGTTTAATTTTTACCCTGAGCCTCAGGTAGGTGTTCTTATCTCTCTCTTTTTTTTAAACAGAGGAAGACACTTAAAGATGAAGTGCCTAATTCAAGGTCACACAGTGTCGGGAATGGACCTCCAGATTTCCTTACTGGTGAGCACGTTTTCCAGATTTTTCTGTCAATCAGAGTTTCGGAATTTAAATGCTGTTTTAAACGTTTAGTTGAGCTTGTCATTTAAATGAACCCTTCAGGTAATCTTTTGTTGTGTAGTCAGCCCCTTTTTGTATCTGTTTGGCGGTTCCAGCTTTTCTTGATAGGAGGTACACCTGTAATGGGCGGTCTCAAATACTCTTATGCGGTGTCTGGCTGAGGATAGGGAGGGGGAAGTCATTCAGCCCGCCCAGAGACTCAGGTATCTGTCAGTCTGGCCTTGTCTGTGGCACTTTTGAGTTTACCTGGCTCCGGGGGAGCGAACAGTTCTCTGTATGACTCATTTGCTTCCCTCAGCTCCCCATGGGCTTGACTCTTGCCTTCCCAACCCCAACACCCCAACCAGGTAAAAATAAATACACTCTGGCACCAAACCTCCATTTCTCTGCAGACATTGACAGAGCATGGCAGAGTGTTAGGTCAATCTGTGGCCTCTTCAGTGGGCCAAATAGGTGCCTGAGCAGGGCTCTGATTGTGTGGGTGTGATACACAAAAGAAGGGCTTTTTGCCTTTAACTTATATTGCTATCAGATATATTTTCTGAAGTGTCTTCATGTTAGTTTATATAACCCTACAACCACATTGAACAGTTCTGGCACAGTAGGAGTGCTTACCGTGTGCTAGGCATTGTTCTAAGCCTTATGTATTCAGTTTCTCTCACATTTTTTAAAAAAACACTGTAAGAAACAAATTTTACACTATGACTTAAGACGTTTGTGTGCACACATATAACAAAATTCTTGCAAAAGAATAATTACTACATGCAGTGTTCTTGGGTAATTTCTAGTCTTTATATATAAAAAAGGACACATTTGGCCAGGCCTGGTGGCTCACACCTGTAATCCCAGCACTTTGGGAGGCTGAGGCGGGTAGATCACCTGAGGTCAGGAGTTCAAAACCAGCCTGGCCAACATGGTGAAACCCCATCTCTACTAAAAATACACACACACACACACACACACACACACACACAAATTAGCCAGGTATGGGGTGCACACCTGTAATCCCAGCTTCTAGGGAGGCTGAAGCAGGAGAATTGCTTGAACCCAGGAGGCGGAGGTTGCAGTGAGCTGAGACTACACCAACACCAACTCTAGCCTGGGTAACAGAGTGAGACTTCATTTCAAAAAAAAAAAAAAAAAAAAAGGACACATAATAAATGAAGTGATTAGGGCACGGTCGCTTATGCCTCTAATCCCGGCTCTTTGGGAGGCCTTGGCCAGTGGATGATGAGGTCATGAGATTGAGACCAGCCTAGCTAACGTGGTGAAACTCCATCTCCACGAAAAATACAAAAAATTAGCTGGGTCTGGTGGCGCGTGCCTGTAGTCCCAGCTACTTGGGAGGCTGAGGCAGGAGAATCGGAGAATCACTTGAACTTGGGAGACAGAGGTTGCAGTGAGCCAAGATTGCGCCACTGCACTCCAACCTGGGCGTCAGAGTGAGACCCTGTGTCTCAAAAAATAAATAAATAAGGTGATTAAAAACCCGTTAGCGTTGACTGCTTATACACATTTAATCCTCACAAAACCTCCTGAAATGGGTGATGATATTAGGTCAGTTTTACAGAGGTACAGATTGGTGAAGGGGTAAAGCAAGGATTTGAATTTAGTCAATCAGAGTCCAGAGATACCTACTTAACCACTAAACTGGATGTGGTCTCTGCAGAGGGTCCTGTCTCATAGGGAGACATAATAGATGAGGGAATTAAAAACATTAGCAAGTATTAGAAACTCAGGTCACAACGAAAGGACTGAATCACATATAATCAAGGAATGTTCAAACAAGATCTTCTGGCCTTATAAATCTAATCTATCTCTCTTCCCTAGAGAAAATTTTATCCATCGACTCTTTATTCTCAAGACTACCTACTGAAATATTTCCATAATTTTCTGTTATGTACCTTTGGGACTTAGTGCACCTCCTCAGTGACTTACCTTTCCCAGCTCCCCCAGCTCTCAGCCTCCCTGCTTCCCCCGGAATCTTACAGTTTCTTGAAGTCCACGTTTCGTTGTTGGTTAAATTGTAATGTGTCTTGGGGTTGATAACATGTCATATAGGAACCTTGGGTGATGCTGTGATCTGGCAAAGAGGTCACTGGACTTTGGAATCTGAGGCTTTGGGCCCTAGTCTTAGCTCTGCCCGTGACTAGCTCTGAGACTTCTACAACCCACTTCATCTGTCAGGGTCTCAGTTTTCCCATGTATAAAGCAAGAGATTAAATGATTCATGATGTCCAGGAAGTGATGATATTTGACCTTGGTTATTTATCCCTGGGTGGTGGGATGGTTATGTAAATATTTTCCACATTTTTGGTAAAATCTCCACTCCCTTCCTCAGACTTGCGTTATCTTATGGATACCTGAGTGAATTCCACACCATCCATTTTATAGATGAAGCCACTGAGACATGGAGCAACTGGCTGAGTAGTCACTGCTCCACCCCTGGAGCCTCACACATAACTCGTCTCCTCTTACTCAGTGACCACAGGTTGGTTGAGGGGATTAACAAGGCTAAGAAGGTGAGTCAGGTTTAGACTTTGGAAGTTGAACCACAGGATTTATGCTCCAGTCAGAGGAATGATTGTTGCTTCCTCTTATGTTAAGTTGATATGTCACGTAAAACCTTTCAAAATGATTTCACATTGCTTGTTTAATCATCCCAGGCAACTTTGCCAACTTTCTTATTATGCCCATTTTACAGAAGAGCCATTTTTGGATCAGTGGAGTGAAGCGACTTACTCAAGGTTACACAGGCTTCTTTACTCCTAGTTGTGGATTGCACCTTTCCAAAGCTTCTGATGCTTGTGATATATATATGGACTTTTTTTTTTTTTTTTTTTTTTTTTGAGACGGAGTTTCGCTCTTGTTACCCAGGCTGGAGTGCAATGGCGCGATCTCGGCTCACTGCAACCTCCGCCTCCTGGGCTCAGGCAATTCTCCTGCCTCAGCCTCCTAAGTAGCTGGGATTACAGGCACGCACCACCATGCCCAGCTAACTTTCTGTATTTTTAGTAGAGACGGGGTTTCACCTTGTTGACCAGGATGGTCTCGATCTCTCGACCTCGTGATCCACCCGCCTCGGCCTCCCAAAGTGCTGGGATTACAGGCTTGAGCCACCGCGCCCTGCCATATATGGACTTTAATGTATGGGATAACTTTACCGTAAACTCAAAAAGCTTTCCAGCCAGTCATCATTTTTCTGCTCCCAAACAGCCAATGCATTTCCCTTAAGTTCCTAACTCTTGTTTTAGAAAATCTCTTCTCTTTTTTTTCTGATGTTTACATTTATGGATTTGGAAGGGGTGGGAAGGATTCCTCAATAAGACTCTTAAGTTCCCTTAGGGCAGGGACCACATTTTTTTTTTCTCTAATCTACCTGGTTCAGCAAGCATACTACAGCTATTTAATTTTAATTTTTAATTTTTATTTACTTTTTGAGAAAAGGTCTCGCTCTGTCACCCAGGCTGTAGTGTAGTGGCTCCGTCATAACTCATTGCCACCTCAATCTCCCGGGCTCAAGTAATCCTCCCACCTCAGCCTCCTCAGTAACTGGTACTATAGGTATGTGCCTACCATGTGGCTAATTTTTTTATTTTAATTTTTTTTTTTTGAGACGGAGTTTCGCTCTTGTTACCCAGGCTGGAGTGCAATAGCGCGATCTCGGCTCACCGCAACCTCCGCCTCCTGGATTCAGGCAATTCTCCTGCCTCAGCCTCCTGAGTAGCTGGGATTATAGGCACGCACCACCAGGCCCAGCTGATTTTTTGTATTTTTAGTAGAGACGGGGTTTCACCATGTTGACCAGGATGGTCTCGATCTCTTGACCTCGTGATCCACCCACCTTGGCCTCCCAAAGTGCTAGGATTACAGGCATGAGCCACCGCGCCTGGCCTAATTTTAATTTTTAGTAGAGATGAGGTCCTGCTATGTTGCTCAGGTTGCTTTTGAATTCCTGAGCTCAAGTGATTCTTCTGCCTCAGCCTCCTAGCATCCTGGGATTATGGATGTGAGTCACCGTGCCTGGCCTATAGCAATTTAAATTTGCCATATTGGCTGAGTGCGGTGGATGAGGTGGTGAGGTGGGTAGAGTTCGAGAGCAGCCTGACCAACATGGCAAAACCCTGTCCCTTCTAAAAATACACAAAAAAATTTAACTGAGCATGGTGGTATGTGCCTGTAATTCCAGCTACTCGGGAGGCTGAGGCATGTGAATGTGAACCTGGGAGATGGAGGTTGAGGTGAACTGAGATGGTGCTACTGCCCTCCAGCCTGGGCGACAGAGCAAGAATCCTTCCCGGGGGCGGGGGTGGGGGACGGAGTGGAGGGGAAAGTGCTACTAACATGTAACATTTTTTTTCTTGAATCCAGAAGTCATTACACACTTTTTTTTTTTTTGAGACGGAGTTTCGCTCTTGTTTCCCAGGCTGGAGTGCAATGGCGCGATCTCGGCTCACCGTAGCCTCCACCTCCTGGGTTCAGGCAATTCTCCTGCCTCAGCCTCCTGAGTAGCTGGGATTACAGGCACGTGCCACCATGCCCAGCTAATTTTTGTATTTTTAGTAGAGACAGGGTTTCACTATGTTGACCAGGACGGTCTCGATCTCTTGACCTCGTGATCCACCCGCCTCAGCCTCCCAAAGTGCTGGGATTACAGGCTTGAGCCACCGCGCCCGGCTCATTACACACTTTTTTAAAAAAGTGGTTTCTTTTTCTCTCTCCCTGAAGATTTATCTTTCTGTTTCTTTTTTATTTAAAGTAATATTAGGCTGGGCATGATGGCTCACACCTGTAATCCCAGCATTTTGGGAGGCTGATGCAGGAGAATTACTGGAGTCCAGGAGTTGGAGACCAGCCTGGGCAACATAGTTAGACCCTGTCTGTACAAAAAAATTAAAAAATTAGGCCGGGCGCGGTGGCTCAAGCCTGTAATCCCAGCACTTTGGGAGGCCGAGGCGGGTGGATCACGAGGTCAAGAGATCGAGACCATCCTGGTCAACATGGTGAAACCCCGTCTCTACTAAAAATACAAAAAAATTAGCTGGGCATGGTGGCACGTGCCTGTAATCCCAGCTACTCAGGAGGCTGAGGCAGGAGAATTGCCTGAACCCAGGAGGCGGAGGTTGCGGTGAGCCGAGATCGCGTCATTGCACTCCAGCCTGGGTAACAAGAGCGAAACTCCGTCTCAAAAAAAAAAAAAAATTAAAAAATTAAAAAAATTAACTGGGCATGTGGCATGCACCTGTAGTCCCAGCTACTTGTAAGGCTGAGGTGGGACAATCACTTGAGCTCAGGAATTAGATGCTGCAGTGAGCCATGGTCGTGTCACTTCACTCCAGTCTGGACAACAGAGCGAGATCCTATCTAAAAAAAAGAAAAGTAATAAGAAATAAAGTAAGAGTAAATTGAGAGAGCTTTTCCCCCTGTTACTTTCTAGGCTACTACAGCTAGAAATACATCTTTTTAAAATTTTTTTCTTTTGGAAAACAGAGCTTTATTTCTCCTAAAGAGTTGTAGCCTGCATGATGGCCATTCTGCCAGGCTGGGAAGTATAGCCTCCAACCAGAAGCCAGAAACAGGCACTTCGAAGCAATTTATCCTTTTTTTTTTTTTTTTTGAGACAGCGTCTTGGTCTGTCGCCAGGCACTAGGCTGGAGTGCAGTGGTGGGATCTCGGCTCACTGCAACCTTTGTCTCCTGGGTTCAGGCAATTCTGCCTCAGCCTCCTGAGTAGCTGGGACTACAGGCGCATACCACCACACCCACCTAATTTTTGTATTTTTAGTAGAGACAGGGTTTCACCATGTTGGCCAGGATAGTCTTGATCTCTTAACCTCGTGATCTGCCTGCCTTGGCCTCCCAAAGTGCTGGGATTACAGGCTTGAGCCACTGCACCTGGCCCGAAGCAATATATCTTACCCATTTTGTAGTTAACAGTTTAACCTCATGTGCTGGTGAGCCTACACTGCTGTTTTGTGATCACTTCTTGGTCCTCTGAGAAATGTAAGAAATGTGTTGGGGTTGGTGTAGTTGGGTGTGGTGGCTCACACCTGTAATCCCTGCACTTTGGGAGGCTGAGGCAGGAGGATTGTTTGAGCCTATGAATTTAAGACCAGCCTGGGCAATATAGGGAGACCCTATCTCTACTAAAAAAATTTAAAGATTAGCTAGGCATGGTGATACGTGTCTGTAATCCCTGCTACTGGACAGGTTGAGGCAAGGAGTTTCAAACTAGCAGACTGTAAGGTGGAGGACAGGGAAGGGTATTCCAGGCAGAGGAAGCAAAGGCCTGATCCATTCAGAAGCTGTAGCCATTTCAGGAAGATATGAATGATGTTCACATTATCCAGATTTTGGTGATTATTGTTTTGCTACTTCACTAGCATAGATTATTGAGACTTGTCTATACTTGCTACAGCACAGAAAGTTAAAGGCCTTACTTTATAGCAGTAATTCTAAGGTGAAGACATCAGAAATTGTACTTCTTGTCTAGAGATTCTAAGGATAAATTGTAAATTAAACCTAACCTTTGAGTTAGCAAATGATCAATAACTCTCTGTCCCATAAAAGAAAGAAGGGGCGGTGGGGTGCAGTGGCTCATGCCTGTAATCCCAGCACTTTGGGAGGCTGAGGTGGGTGGATCACCTGAAGTCAGGAGTTTGAGACCAGCCTGGCCAACATGGTGAAATGCTTTTTCTACTGAAAGTACAAAAATTAGGCCGGGCGCAGTGGCTCATGCCTGTAATCCCAGCACTTTGGGAGGCCGAGGCGGGTGGATCACGAGGTCAAGGGATCGAGACCATCCTGGTCAACATGGTGAAACCCCGTCTCTACTAAAAATACAAAAAATTAGCTGGGCATGGTGGCGCATGCCTGTAATCCCAGCTACTCAGGAGGCTCAGGCAGGGGAATTGCCTGAACCCAGGAGGCGGAGGTTGCGGTGAGCTGAGATCGCGCCATTGTACTCCAGCCTGGGTAACAAGAGCGAAACTCCGTCTCAAAAAAAAAAAAAAAAAAAAAAAAAAAGTAAAAAGTACAAAAATTAGCTGGTGTGGTGGCAGGCGCCTGTAATCCCAGCTACTTGGAAGGCTGATGTGGGATGATCACTTCCCTTGGATACCTTCTCTGTCTACACTCTTTTCCTAGGTGCTCTTTTTCAGTACTTTATTTTTTAGAGACAAATTCTCGATCTGTTGCTCAGGCTGAAGTGCAGTGGCATGATCATAGTTGACTGTACAGCCTTGAATTCCTGGTCTCAAGCAATCCTCCTGCCCCTCCTCAGTAGCTAGGACTACAGGTGCCCACCACCACGCCTGGCTGGGTTTTTTTTTTGTAGAGACAGGGTCTCACTATGTTGCTCAGCTGGACTTGATCAAGGCTTTAAATGCCATTATTTCCTGACAGTTCGTGAGTTTACATTATTAGCGTGGATGTCCTTCCCTGAACTCAAGACTTACATCCAGCTGTTCACTGTATATCTCCTTTTGGCTGT